ATGCTCTGTCAAAAACTAAATGAGTACGAATGTACTCATGAACATGACAGAAATTTGAAAAATTGCTCGTAAAATTTCCAAACTATGATCATAGTGAAAGACGGCCACATTAAATTGTTGATTGATGTCTTCACTTTTTATATTCATCTCATTCTGATCTACATCACCATGATCCAATAGATCAAACCTTGTTTGGAGGAATGCTGGGAAAATATCAAAATTGTTGCATTTCTGTCTGGAGCATGTTTTATAATGTCTGCAGTATGTTTCATAAATTTTATGAGGGCGACATACTACAGTTTGTTACAGGACATGTGAATATAAGAAAAATAATCATGGGTGCATGCAAGGGGGGAGGTGGGTCGGGGAGGTCATACAACCCCCCCCCCAAAAAAAAATTTCCATAGACATTATTTTCTCGGGCCTTTTCACAAAGACATAAATGAAAAAGCATTGATGAGGTACCAGCAATGAGTCCAAAGACCTTGCCAATTGCGTGAAGTAACGTAATCTATCTCAATTCAAACGTCCTCAGTCTGTGTCAATTCGACAGCAATTTCTATTTAAAAAAAAAATTGTATTGACATTTTAATCACATCTTGCTGTTGTTTAATTGTAAAAAGGTCCAAAAAATTAGATCACGACCCACCCAGGAAAAATCCTGGATACACCCCTGATAATATACCGGTAGATAAACAATATCTTAATATTGGATTTTCTTGTGATATCCGTCAAGTTTTATTATTTGTAATAGATACACATTATCTTCTAAATTCAGGTTAGGTCAAGTATTATGTTTTTAAATAGAAATGAACAACAAAACAGTAGTTTTGGGTTAAAGCATAATCATATGCTCTGGTGATTCTACTGTAAAGACATGCAGGTCTGTGGATAAAGGAAGAGTCTCAGAGGAACATGGTCGTTGTTAACGTTACCAGAAGATCTCTCCAAAATATGCCCATTTGATGTCAAAAATATCCCAACTTATGAAATTTGAACAATTGTGTATAGGGCCTACAAAAGAATCTTTGAATGTTCTGGGTAAATTAGAGGAAGTGAGATATTGTCTGATAAACATGTATTTTTTTACCTCAAAATTATCCTCTGTGAATATGAACAGATAATCCAACTTGATCTAGGTTAATCTTTTTTGATCTAGGTTAATTCTTTAAGTGACTATCCGATTTAATAACGATTGAGAGCAATGTTTAGTAGGTGGTGCAATAAAGTTAATAAAAGGATAGGCCTACATTGATAAAATTTGTCTCAAGACAAGTCCCATTCATGTCCCACTTTCATTCAGTTTAGCTACATTTTTCTCTGAAAATCTATATAAATGGTAAAATATCTCTTTATATAAATTACAGTATTCTTTTGTTTTTCCCTATTAAATTCCTGTGCTATAATATTAATACTGACACATCCTCTACCAATTATACTATTAAAGATGTAATTGGGATAAACTGTTGAAGGTCATGAGTTGATCCATTGGTAGTATTAGGGGATTACTATTTTTAAAATTTGATGTAGGTATAAAAATTCAGAACTAAAATATACTTTAGATGGGGATACCAGGCAATAAATTACTTACTACCGGGTGTTTTTTTTTTGTTCCAGGAAAAAGCATAAATCTTAGAATTCAACTGAAAGTGCAATATGGGTCAAAAGTCATGCACAATATAATAAAAATATAGAGATTTATATACATGTAAGCCTACTATTTTTATATATTATTAGATATAGTGTAGAATTTAGACATAATGCTATAAAAAAGCTAAAAACTGTTTTGTCCCTGGCAAAAGCTCGAACACAACCTTACCAATCAAGTTTAGCTAACCATTTTACTGGGGAGCATCACGCCACAGGGATAGGGAATGCATTGCGTTGGGCTGGCTAAGGTCACAAGTCAATGCATAGGGACCTACTAAGTTCACATAAGCCAAAAACCTCATAGTATCGCATGTGAACTGTCCTCTGGGACAACATGAATTGGGGAATGAAACATGTGACAAATTTGAGATTTTCAAAGTCGATTTGAAAACTGATATTATAAGGAGGTTATTTCTTGACCTGGTTGTTTTTGGGCCGTGCAAGGACAGGTCCACAATTGAATTTTACATAATAAACCGTTATTTGTTATTTGGAGTCATATATATGGATCAAGAGACATGCGCATATTACGCCTTCAGCTAAGTCTGGCAGAATTAAGGCTGGAATCATGATGTGGATACAGTGCATGTGAGGACCAATGGACTACATTGGTTTTAATAGCTGACAAACATTCTGGAATAAATGGGCATGACATCGTATTGTGGAAGGATAACATAGAAGGGGTTACATCCTGGAAGGTCAGGTCTGCAAGAAATATAGTGGTTCTTAATCATATTTATTAGATGCAAATATTTGTAATTTATATACCATTTTATACAAAAATAAATTTAAGATAATTAATAGTAGGCCTTCTGCATTATGTGATTTGGACCAAGGCAACTTAAACTTTTTGGGAGAGAATATTTTTTCATTCTAACATTAATGGCTCCCTAATATTTTTATTGGTTTATAATTTAAAAGTAGACATTCTGTAGTCTGTTGATTCTAAAATCTGCCAACTATTGTTTCTTTGAACACTAACTTATAAAATAATGTACGTTTTAGAAGGAAAAAGAGGTTTAAGTGAAAACACTCCTTTATTGGATAAAGTGATGATTTAGTGCTTCAATTTGGAAACAAGTGTGGAAGGTCGTACACGTTATTAGGGTTCAGATAAGTTGGGATTTAGCCATTATCCAGTCTGCAATGCCCTATAAAATCTCCATTGTACTTGTCTGGTTTTTAAAACTACTGTACACAAATCCTAATAACACCATGTTACTCTAAAGTATCAAATTCACTGAATAATCAAGCATTTTAATGAATGCAAATTTATGTAATTTCTTGTAAAAAGGGTAAAATAAAGTTTATCTGTAGCTGTCTGTATCTACAAAAAAAAAAATCTATTTTTATATGCATTTTATATTGTACTGGTGATGCACTGTCCCAATATGTGTACATTATAGTACACATACATTAAGAAAGATGGTGTAAATCTATTTTCTTGCTTATCAAACATGTAAAATTACTCAAAGGTGATCTGAAGCTATTTCGGTGTTGATGCTCATGTGTGAATAATTGTGTTCAAAACCATCTAATTCATAACTATTTGATGACGGATGTCCTGAATTTATACCCGATATTGTAAATATTACAAAAGTTATGCCGCTCATAATATTTATTTATGATGTAAATGGATTGATTCTCTGGCTGTATATTACACTCTTTATTTTCTTTCTTCAACATTGCTTGATAATTAACTTGTTTCCTTCCCGGTGCATGCTCTATATCATCACTCTGTTTTTCTACACTTCACTTTTACGAGTGTTTGAGGTGTTTGAGGGCTTTTTTTTCCCCAAAGGATGAGAAGTTCAACGATTTATTTTGCACGTTTCTGGTGACTCTGCTATTTAACTCTTTGAACCCTTGTTGGTGAAAGTCTGCCGTGTCAGACCCCCAGAAGAGCCACTTTTCACTGTCCTGTCTTCTCATTATACTTGACCTCCCACCTAAAACTACCTTGTTTAAGCTGAGTACCTAAGCAAGCACGTTGTCAAATCTTTCCCCTGACTTTACCTTACCTGGCCAACTGAGAGAGTGTGAATTAATTCTTTTACAGTCAGTCAGACCATTGGGTAATGAAACTGTTTCATTACTCCATTACAAATACACAATTTTACAAATGCCAGGATGTTTGTTAACCACATCAATTAAAAAATATAATTAGGTTGTTCATTAAGATAAATTAGTAAAAATTATTTAATAATAATTAATACACTATGCTGTATGCATCTTAATTTATTTTAATAAATTCAGTAATACATGTAGTAGAATATATACGTAGTTTTGGGGGTTTTTTATGTTAAGAAGTTAAATATTTTAAAATTGTATTTACTAATTTGACATAGATTGAGTTTAATCATAATGTTTGAAAAATTATGTTCCATCAATTTTTTTTTCATTCCAAAATTTAATTTGAATGAATTTTTCGCGACACTTTTTGATAGGACTTGCAAAGGTTTTACTGGTAGGCCAAAAGCTGAAGTTTGTAGCATTTTAGTTGAACATAGTATTCGAACTGATGACGTGGTACCAAATACATGAATAAAGGTTAGGCCTACAAACAGTAGCATTCACAAAAACACTTCACCACACCACATAAAGGTCATAACCAGTAGGCCTAGCTTAAAATAATATAAGTTCTATCAATTGAATTATCTAAAAAACCAGCATTGATTGAGATTATAGGTTTGATTAGTGAGGGGCAAAGGTTCAGTGTTTCGTTTATAATGGTTGTGTGATAAATGACAAATGTTTTACATAAAACCCGCAGAAGAGTTTATTGATATAGAATCGACCTCGGATTTTTATTCACTGTAAAAGTTCATGTTCTGGAGAAAACTCAATATTTTTGTGCTTTTTCACTGAAATAAATTATGATAGGAATGCATATCAGCTCAGGTGTAAATCAATGTATATTTAAAATTTAAGTGAAATGTCAAGAACATCTGCAATATGCTGGTATCTAAAATTCATTTTACAACTCTGTCTATCTAATATTAATCAGTTTGAGGGGGACTTTGATTTTCTTCAATTTTGCTTCTTGATGTATTTTTGAGTCACCTTGCAGTGCTGTGGTGTTTATCATACCCATGTAGAATTTAATTCCTAAGTTTGTACAGTAATACATTCACATCATATTCTAATACATTCATTCTGTTCAACAAAGAAATTGATGTATTCTCTTCATTTTCTTGTAATCTGAACTCGTTGAGTGGAATTTTCTTTCATAAATTTGTATCTGTATTCAATAGCTCTTTCAGTTATACAGTAAGAACTTCACAACTGGGTGATTATTTTAAGCAATTAAAAATAAACTTAAAAATATTATTTAATGTGTTTTATTTCAGGACTTTGCAATCACCGTCATCGCAGTATATATACTATCATCCAGCACTGATCTCACAGTCTGGTTTTCCATACCAACAACCAGCCAGCCCTACTGCAACCCAGCCTTTTGTTGAATACCCCGGAGCATATCAGACGACACAACATTACAACACAGCTGCAGCTTATGAACAGTTTGCATATGCAACCCAAGGGTATGTGACCCCAGGCTACGGGTATGCAACTGTCCCGCAACAACCTGTAACGTCAGTCCAGCCATATCAAGCCAACCAGCAAGTACAACCAGAGAGAATTCCATAGAGGGCTTGAAAATGAATCCGTTGTTTAAATTTTATTCTGAATGTTTCATCATCACCATCATCATCGTCGCGATGAGATGATCTTCAGGTAGTCAAGACAGCTGATGCAGAATTAAACACAAAAGATATAGATTTTTAAAAATAGAATATGATTAATTTTTAGGATGTACCTTGGTATTTTGTTACAAAGTTATATGGTATATGGTAAAAATAATGTCATCAGCTGGATTTAGGATATTCCAATTACCTGCAGGCTGGAACCAACCATTCCATTAGAGGAGTCCATCCCATTGAGAAAGGCAATATCAGTAAGTGAGAAATAATTGGGGGTTTTTTTTTTTAAGCATATCACCAAGTACTATATAAGCCGTGATACATATTACTGTCTGTTAAAGTGTAAAACTGTTGGGATAGATTTTATAACAAAACAGTAAACTTGCTTACAAAAAGGAATAACTCCTTCATATACAGTTTTTATGTTTATGACACAATTTAATATTTATACAATTTTATGATTTGGAATATATATTTTCTGAATATGTGTTTCTTTATCTGTGTCTGAACTCTCTTTGGTTGAGCTGGGAAATCCTGTCAGACTGGAATAATTTAATTGTTTCAATTTGTTAACAATTTTGTAACATTGTACAAAACATTTCAGCAATAGCTTTTTTTTTATTTATTTATTTGTTAGTTACTTCCAATTGTTGGTATACCAGCTGTTTTTTGAGTATGTAATCGCCATAGCAGCAGATCCTTAAAATTGTTGCCAATTCCCATTCAGCTCTTGCTATGGAAACTATAAGCCGACATACTTGCATGGTACATGGGGTAATCTTTGTTATGATTTTAATTTTGTACTGTATATTTGTTCCTAGTTGGCCAATTATTACTTGTACTTTATATTTATTACTGAGAAAAACAATAAATATCGGGATACAACATTGCCATGTTTACACACATGTAACTTAGCAACATGAATAATTATGTTCATTGTTTTTAAATATTGCCTAAGTACATGCCTAAGTATATGGCTGAATATATATTTTTGCTAATATGTTCTTGCTATAAACGTCTAACCAGTAGGTTAATTACAAATACAACTAGATTAATTTAGTTTTTTTTATTCTTAGTGAAGACATAAAAAATATTAATGAGAAGAATAATGATATTCTAGTTGGATATGTATTGCCTCTGATAAAGATAATTATTATCATAGCTATTTAAAAAAATATTGAATAGTATTAGTAATTAAATGTTTTAACAGTTTATATTAAGTTAAGTTATGTCTATTTTAGAATAACATTTTTGAGTCAAAGAAATTGACAGTAACATAACATGAAATATTCAATTTCAATATAATTTCAATGTGGTGTAAGCTGTGGGTTAGAGGGCACCTTTCATGTAGTTGTTACCTAGCGACAGTTGAATGTCATTCTGTTAGTATTTTTCTCCGATGGATTATAATAATCAATGTGATGTTTAATGTATTATGTGTTGGCTATTTTTAGTTGTATAAAAATGTAGGCTAATTGATATGTTTAACCACGGAGGCGTTGTTTCAGCATCACTGTTTTTTAACCGGAGCCACTGTGGCACTGTTAGATTGGTAAAAGTGCAAAGCAAGTAATCGATTTATATCTCACTCACTATGTACTTTCATTTTATTTTGATATAATATTTAGATTTGTTTCAATCAGTCCACTTTAACTTTCTGAAATGTTTATTTGTTAAATTTTCTCAAAAAATTGGTAATAATTTCTAAGCCTCATTGCTGCCAAATCCTAGGGTGTTTTTGTTTATTTTTTATTAAATTCATCGGGGTTTTTGTTAGTGTTATGTATCAGTGTTTAGTTAATGTTTAGAGATGTTTTAACATATGTTGAACTACATGTTTTTTCTGGAAAGTAAGGGTTTCGTGGTGATCTTAGTAATGGACTAAGTCTACCATCTGTATACAGCATCCTATGTAAAAATGACTATTGTCGCATCTGTATACAAATCTTCCAGTAAAGCGTTAATGTAATATTATACATCATTATAAGTTATTTAAATCATAAGCGGTCATAGTAAACAATTCTAGAACTTGAGAATAAATGCATGTGAAATAGTCCGAATTGTCACTAAGCTCAAAATCATATTTAAAAATACTAGACTCAAATTTATGCAAATTGAGGTTTATTTTTAAAACAGTTCTAGAACTGAAATTTTGTTGTTATATCGGATGGTTATTGATCGCAATTAATACCAGGGTGCCTTTGTAATGAAGAGCCTTGACCGCTATGTTTAGCGCCCTCACATCAAACCGTCCATGTTTATATTAAGTGTAAATTAAGTAGCTGTTTACATATGCAATGACATAGCAATTTCATATAATTATAAAACAAAGTTTTAATTAGAAGAGCTTTTAACTCTATGCATTCATACATATCTACGTAGAATGAAAAGGGTGATGGTTGGTGGTCGTTTTTATTTATTTTTTGTTTTTAGCGTACAGGCGTACTTAGATACGGTACTTTAGAAGGGAAACTTACAATTTGATATAATTATATATATATATATGAGTACACAGCTAGTGGGAGAGGACATCTGATGTGAGCTGTTGGAAGAGAAGGTAGTTGTCATTTTTGTTGTTGTAATGGTCAGTCGTTATTATCTTGAAAGCATTTACAGACCTTGGTTCAGCCTGGTTTTCCGACAGCTCACTACCGGATTTATTTCAACAGTTACGCCAAAGAGGATAACTAGATATTCGTTGATTAACGCACGGTACGAGCGTATCATTTTAATATTGCAATACCTTATTATTACTTTTTAGAAAGTTATTGTAGAAAGTCACGGGACGATCAGTGATGTCAAATTAAGTTCTCACTGGAGTCACAAGATGTATCACGATGCACTTCCGTTGTTAAGTATCACGTCTATCTATTAGTGTAGTATATAAGTGCAAACGTAATTTGAGTAGAGAAGCAGAAAAAAGGCATGTTTACTTCACGCTCTATGCGATGAACGTAATGCACACCAAGATACCGATCGGTAGAGCGTCAGTCTAGTAAGATAACCCTGTGGTTGATCGTCACCTCGGCGCGACTTTGTCATTTATGGCGTCATCGATTATTTCTAACGCGAGCTCGGATTGGTCAGAAGTATAAGTCTCGAATCAGCCAATCCAAGGTTTACTCGTAAAACGTTTCAAATATTGAATGTTATTATGTATGGGTTGTTTCAGTCAGATGTTGTTCATTTTTCCTTGTGAAAAATTTACTTAATAATTCTCGGATTGTACGTTCGAAATGTTGTTTTAATAACCTTATAGAGCCAGCTACCTCATGGATTGGCCATTTATAAGAAATATTGACCTGTTTGTCTATAGTTGTACGTAGAGTCAGTGACGAGAATGTTCGCGTGAATGTTACAAGGAGGTGACAAGCTTCAAACCATTTGGCCTTGACGTAGAGATCGTCACGTACTAACGTACGTAGACATGTTAAATATTCAAATAAAATGTAAAAAATATAACATAGTTCAAACTGCAAGAACTTTAGAACTGTAACATAATAATAATATCATAAGTTAGATGATGATAGAAGTAGATTTTAAGATTTTTTTTTTCTTTTCTTTCACAATATTTAAGCTATTAAAGGTAGATAGCGTGGAAGAATGTAGAATGTTCACGCTGACTAAACGTTTTTATATTCATTCGAGGGATCTTTCTATCATGTTGTAAACAATGCTCTCGATGTATTGTAATCCGGTAATCTGGTAGGCCTAGCTGCTTAAAACAGCGGATGCCTGGACTGATCACCGATGAAGGAGTAGATATAGCTGCTCAGATCGATCTAATTGTACAGAAATTTAAATGACCAATAAACGGTCTCTACAAGTTATGACGTTACATTTTGTTTGTTTCATTTAGCTGTACGTTGTCGATTTCTGTCATTTTCATTACGTAACATAGATACTTCATAGTGACGCTTTAAAAATTCCATTAAAAACTTTCATTTTCAGCAGGTCTTGCGCAAAAACGACACGTGACCTAGGTACTGAAAAAACTACAACAGTCATAATTGGATCATCATCACTTAATACATACAAGATACAGTTTACAAAACTTTTACAATAATTACTTCCCAGACGATGTACGGAAGTACAAGAAATGCGTGATGGAATGCATAAGGAGTGATTTTAATAGGCCTGTCAGATGTTAAAAATATTAATCACTATCTTAATGATGATGATGATGAAGAATGTATATGTTAATTATGGTTACTAAAAGTATTTAAAAAAAAATCGATGGGATATACATTGGCTTATATGGCCTAATTTTACTTTTAATTTTAAATATACTTCAATATGATATCTACGTTCACGTGAGTTACATGACCACTGCAGAATGCTTGAATAAATATGCTAGGTATAATTATTATTAAAACTTGAGAACACGATAAAATAGGTTTATTTTGGGAAAATGGTGAAAATTTTGCAAGTGAATATAAACCAATCATGACGTCAAAAGAACCGGCACCAGATTTCAGTCACATTATCTCTGGACTGGAAAATGCGTGCAAAATTGTATTGTTCTATTAGAAATTAACTGAATGACGTTACGGTATATTAACATTCGCGAACGTTGTGGTTTTGTCCCAACGTTATTTATATGGAAACTTGTTATTTATGTTTCTACAAAGTTTTGAACACCAATGCTGTAACTTGTTATAACGATACAATTGTTTGCTGGGATAGGCCTATGCTTTTAGCTGGGATAGGGCTACATCCAGACTTCCTACTTTTAAAAATTCCCGTTTTAATTGTCAAAAGATTAAAACTTCAAATTAGACCTAAATGTTTGGGACTCGTAGTGGTAACTTCCCATCGTTTTTATCAATCGTCATTATCATCGTCGTCATAAAACTTGTTATTACCATTGAGGTTCGAACCCAAAACCTTAAGATTAATGTTTGGTTACCTTGCACTACCGACTGCAATATGCAAGTTTCAGATGTGAAGCGTTGAGATTCGCAAACGCATGAGGGCGTTTGCTTCAGTAATACCAATCACCAAACTCTAGCAGCAATACAAAAAGTAGATTATGAAAAGGTAACTTAAATTTAGCAAAAGAATTGTTTTAATTATTTTTCACAAACAGTTGAGTCCCTAATCTGGATTGACGAATAGGCATTCGTCACGCTGAAAAGCAACTGGGTCGTCGTGGAGGGGTTGAATTTGAAAATTGTTAAGGAGGCCCTCCGTAGGCCTATGTAAAACTCTCATTAAATTATAAAATACATTAAAATCAATCATCATGCTCTTTCACCCACTGCTCTATGAAGCCCTTGTGTCATCCTTCAACTTTTCTTGTGTCTTCCTTTCCTCCACTTCCCGGTTCCTACTGCCAGTTTGTTAGTCTAGTCCATCTTTTGCCTTCTATTCATGAAAGGTGTCCTGCTCCTCTCCATTTCCATTAACAGAACCGTGTACACGTGAAAACACGTTAATTTTATAATTGCACACGCACGGTTTCTTCCGCATATGAAATTTATTCCACAAACGTTTAAAGACACTGCACTATCACCTAGGAGATCGAGCATAAACTTTAACAACAGCTAAAATAAAACCTGTATACCTATAAATTATCATTTTTGAAGGATACATTACGAACATTAAAAAAATTGTTTGCAATGATATGCGATTTACTAAAAATACATTTGCTACCCTGGTAGAGTAAGTTTAAGTAATATAGAATTGAAAGTTATTAATTTAATGAGATATACTTGTAAATTAGCAATTCAATTTAGTTGAAATGTAATACATGACCTGATAAAGTAGATTGTCTGAAGATTTACCTCGCAATTGGTGGATCATTCATAATTTAACGAAAACGGATTTGCTTAGGTGTCGATAAGGGTCATGTAAATACTGAGGACATGATGCCACGTCTTCGTGGTTTACGTGCAGCAAAAGGACCCTCCCTGTGTACAACCTCCAGAGGCACCCCCTGCATAGGCCCGCCCAGGCACGTTGCCAGGGAAGACTACATTATTATGTAGGTAGCACGTTAACCTTTAACAGTTAGTTTTGTGATCAACTTCATCATAATGACCTAGTTCAAAAGACCTTTTGTGTAATACTTGTTTTGAGTTATTACATAGGTGAGATAAAAGCTAGCCTATGCTTCTTTTGAATACATACATTCGCACTTCATCGACCACATTAAGCATCTCGTTGACCAGACCATTCTACATGTTGAAATAAATTTATCTGGTTTCATAAAAATCTATGATCAAGCAAGAAGCCCAATAATGTTTTATCAGTATAAATTGTGTTATTAAATAATAATAATAATAATAATAATAATAATAATAATAATAATAATAATAATAATAATAATAATAATAATAATAATAATAATAATAATAATAATCGAAAAATAATGTACTTTACATAGGCCTATACTTCAAAGCCGTGATTTTACAAACACCTTACCTCAGGTGAGAAAATTTGAGGAAATAGTACCTCAGAAACGGCACTTTTGTATAGTAACATTATCATCATCACATCACCATATTATAATCAAAACGAAGAGCCGACTAATTTTCCATGATCTTTTATCAGGGATTTTCGGCAACCATAGAAATCTACTTAATATCCAGAACAAATTAAGCCCAAATGTACTAGGCCTATCTTTAACTAATATGATAACTATGATCGACAAATCAAAGGTTTCCTTTTCGCCTTTAGCACAATTTTTAATATTATTATCTATTATCATAATTACCATCGTCATCATCGTAATCGTCATCATCATTATTTTTATTATTATTACTTCTACATACTAGTAGTAGTATTATTAAACAAAACTTTTAAATGCTTGCAAAAGGATAGAAACCAAACTGAACCATACAATATCACATTTTTTTTATATTTTAAAAGACATGGCCTGGGATTTATGGATTTAAGGAAAATGTAAGTATGTTAAGTTGATTTTTTTTTGTTAAGCAAGTTTTCTAAATCCACCCCTTGAGAAGTAGCCGTTATAAATCTGAAAATTTTAATTTTTGCATTATTGTGTACAGTGAAAAATTGATTAATCTGACGAATATTCCACTTGGTATTCTCAGGTAATCTTAGCGTGTGACTTTTATTGATAGAAGTTTATGGTTGGTTTCTATTGGAGCACGGGTTACGAACCTACAGTAGAATGAATCAATTAGAAGTTTTACAGTATTTAAATCAACACCAAAATATATGTAGGACTATAACATGTGCTGATGCATACTTACATATTCTATAGAAGTAGGTCCTATTCGTTTTGAGTGATCCCAGGAAAGAATGTGTATGCCTATTTGGTAGCAAGAACAAGCTTTGAAATTCTAACACTCTTTACGTAACAAGGGGAGCCGCGGTTCCCCTATCCCCCGAATACGTCCCTGCTACTAATCCTGTTAAAACATACTTGAACCTTTCTTTTGCAGCCAGAACTTTTGATTTTCCATTATATAGATTTTTAAAGATTTGTTTTTAATTTGTCAGGAGCCCCTGGGTCGCTTGTCATTTGCTGATTCGCACCAATTGAATTCGGACTGTTGAATTCGCCAAAGTGGTTCTGGTTTTTTTGCTCGAGCTCCGACGTATCGCTGGAACCCATCCATCCAGGGACAAAATTATTGCTGGTGGCCGCATGTGTGTGGAAGACGACGAGCGTGAAGCTGCTAATTGGGCAAAGAAAAATGGCGAGCTACAGTGTAAATAACCGTGTTGCTTTAATTTCAGTTGACAATCCACCTGTTAATGCACTGAGGTTTGTTTGTGTTTTTTTTAAATGTCTTTCTTTGTTTACAGCCCACAAATACACTGTACTTGCTCGACGATCAAGGCTGATCCAGGCTAGGCCGAGCGAAGGGCCCGATGCAGATTTTTCTGCTAGCTAGTAGTAGGGGTCTTGGCCTAGGACTATTCTAGCTAGCAAAGTTGTCGTACATTAAATACCTAAAGTACTAGGCCTAGGCTTAAGGGCAAATCTGTGGTCTGCCTATCGTTGGCAACAGATGTTATCAGTGGACTTCGCACCACCCTGACTAAACATTACTAGGCTCTCTAGGCCTGTAGGCACAGACAGGGCGTACCTACACATTTCGTTGGGACACAAATGTCACAACAACACTTGTAACTTGTACCGTACGTCTTAATATAACAATAATACAATAAGCAAAGTGGGTAGGCTATGCATGCTGTAGTGCATGCGCTCTTGTTTGAAGTTTTAAGCTTTTTGTTGCATATTGTGCAGGCTTCTTTGGAAAATTAATTAAAATTATTGTTTTGTTTGTTATGTTTTAGGGATGTTCTAAGGTTTTGTTTCTCATTGAATTTAGTTACTGTTATTTCAATTTTACAAGTACAAGAAAATTATATATCCTTTTAATGAAATACCTTAAAATGCTATGTGAATTCCATTTCCTTCCAATTTTTTATGACAATGATAAAAATGAAGGTTGGCCAACCCTACCTGCACTAACATGTAATTCTATTAACTGGCTTAGTTAGGCTTTGTAAGTAGAATTGTGTTTAGTCATGAAAAAGGTTGACTGTTTTGACAAGATTTGAACCTAGGCTCTTGCAATTTCTAGGCAAGCACCAACAGCTCCTCTCCAGTCTGGTGTTAAATGAGTTTTTTTTTTTATCTGCACCTGTGTTAGGTTTTTTAATTTAAAAAAATGAAAAATTTAACAACGTTTACAGGGCATTGCCAACTAAGCCTAGAACCTAAACCTCTTGAGTAATTTTAATGATATGATGCACAATAATCTTTATGCTTAGTGAGTTGAGTTGTTTTTAGTTGTAGGAACAAATTCTGATATTGTCATTGTTATTGTACAGTTACTGTTATATGAAGCATAACATTAATTTTAACATTTTTAATTGAGATCTGATGGATGTTTAATTTCAGCCACCATGTCCGTCAAGGTATAATGGATGGTTTAAAGGTAAGTAATTACGTAGGATATCTTGTAAAGGACTAATAAGTCAATCACTGCACATTGTTCCGGTTATCATTTGTATGATTTCCTATCATTGTTTATTTATTTGTTAATATTTTTTTAGGCAATTTTCTTAAAATTACAATAAAGGAAAAATATCTAGTACAGTATCTTTATTTTTTTTATTGGAAATGTTCAATAATTAAAAAATAAATTGAAATATATAATAAAGAAATTTATCAATCTAGGTAGTTGTGCATTCATGGGTTATCATCAATATAGTTGACATAACATTGCATGTAATCATTTATTATAGGATAGAGCTATTTTTATGTCACAGTATGGCTAATTATAATGTATTTTTTCATCATCTGGAAGGATCATTTATAGTTAACATTTTTAAAAATTTATTTCATCATAAAAAGAAAGCAAGGGAGGATTCCAGCGTCCAAGCTGTGGTATTGTGTGGTTCTGGACGAACGTTTCCTGCCGGAGCTGACATCACAGAATTTGCATCTGGACTTGCTTCCAAGGGTAAATTTATGAATGAAGTAATTGTCAAATGATTTTTTTAAAATTTATTTTATTTATTCAAGACTCAACAGTGTATCAAAAACACCAATAACAGAGTCGCCATAAAAATATACAATATCATTCATAAAAATATATAAGAATTTAAAAAAAAAAAACATAAAAAGCATAAAAAAATCGGAATAATATATTAAAAACCGGTATTTAGTATAAGATTAAAAATAGAAATATTACAATTAAAAATATCAATATTAGGAAAAATTTGAACTAGATTATTATAAGAAAGTGCAACACGACAAAAAATACCATTAGTACAAACATTAACACGAGAGTACGGAACTTTTAACAAAATGATGACAATGACTACGATGGTATCATATCATATCATTCGTTTGACCAATAAAACAACAAAACAAGTATGGCTCACTGGCCTGATTTCCCAAAAGCAATGTAACGTTACTATCACGGGGCTCTCCTGACAGCACATGGAGTACAAAAATACATAATACATTCAAGTATATTAACATGATGAAGATGTAGTATGGTACATTTCACAATCACTTGAAAATGGTGTCAACGATTGGTGATCAAAAATATTTGTTTTAATCCTATGGAATGTCCAAATAAATGCTCTAAAATAATAGTACTTCATACAGTAAAGCTAAAAAATATCTTGACACTGGGGGACTGGGTGTTGTTGGAATGGAAGGTGAGCCTAATTAAAAAAAATACTGATTATATACAATAATGTTAAAAATATTATTTAAGTTATTTAATTCAATTTTTCATTCACAAAGCTGTAATGTTTTGGTAGGCATTAGTCCGCATTCACAGTCTTGTTTCTAATTTGATGAACATTTTAAGGATGGTGTTCATTAATCAGTAAGTTCTGTGAAAAAAAAAGTATCATTTTTGTATCATTTAAACCTTTTTCAGAACCAGATTTGCGATTAGTTTGCAAAACATTAGACAGTTTCCCAAAGCCTGTGGTTGCAGCTATACACGGAACAGCTCTCGGTGGCGGGCTTGAACTTTGTTTGTCAACCCACTACAGACTGGCTTTGAAGTCGGCCAGGTAAAGTCAGATGATCAATTACTGTAACATTGAGAGTATCAGAATGGAAAACATCTTAGAAATGGACATTACCTAGGATTTAAAATTCCATTAAAAATGGCACCGATGCCTATACCACCCAGTGGCATATCTAGGGGATGTGCGGGGGGAGGGCTCTCTTAAAAATTGCACCCCCCCCCAAGTCATCCCCCATTGATAATGTTTGAAGTACTGTAGATAAAAATCACCTCATATCACCTTATTTTGTGCGCTACTTCCCCTCACTTCATTTTCGAACCCCACTTCACCTTTGTGCCCCTTCCCCATCATTTATTAACGCCACTGTAGCCACCAACTACTTGTAAACTGCCTTTTGTAATTTCACCGTCGCGGTCAGTTTACTATAGCCCTCCGAAACCTTGCAACCACCTTTGTTATTGCCACCAACTAGGTTAAAGTTCTACCAAGTACCACATCTATATTTGTGTACATATAGTTTTTATCAAGATTGTGTCTGTGGTTAGGTTTACACTAGAGTCTTGGTATCCAGATCGGAAGCTAACTGGTAGCCCTAAACATGAGTATGTGTGTGAGGATGCCCAATCGATTAACGCTAAGCGTTACCAGGAAGTGGATACGCAAACGGTTAGGGAGCGCTATTGGTTTGCAAATTGACTTCATTTCAATCATTAGCCAATCAAACATACGCATTTCTAATTTCCTATTGGACAGTGATCCCACCTTCATCTTCTTGATATCTAGATTAGAGATTTTCTTGTATGAAAGCAGCGGTGTGAGCTTGTATGTTGTCTGGATCCTGCTAACCCTTAGATGGTGTGTGTGAACATAGCCATAATCTACTTGTACAAACTTTTGTTTTTCTAAAGGGTTGGTTTTCCTGAAGTGCATCTGGGATTGTTACCTGGGGCAACAGGTACTCAAAGACTACCACGTGTCACACACCTTGCAAATGCGATAGACATTATTGTATCTGGACGTCAAGTGGGTGCTACTGAGGCATATGATCTAGGAATTATTGATGAGGTGAGTATATGGAACAATAAACAATAACACACTATACAGTTTACTGCATATTCCCATAAAGTTTATCTATACATTTTGTTATCCCCTGTCATTGAATCAACCTATAGAATACTGTACATCCTTAGTCTCTCGGGAAGCACCATTCCAAGCTTGAATCAGCGCTTGGTATTGGATCCTACTGGTACCTACTTGCTCCTGGGTAGAGAAAAACAATAGAGCTTTTGTTATCTCATTCGAGAACCAATCCGCCGATAAATTTCCATTCTTGTACCGTTTTTTGTTAAAAAAGAGACAGTGAGCTTTCGCTATCCCATTACGTGTTCCCCCTAAAAAAAAACTCTTGGTGGCAGCACAGCCTGTTGTTACAGCCATGGCACATGCTTGGGCCGTAGTACCACGATGGCTGATATAATGGAGGAAATAGCTAGGGCCTAGCCTAGGAGGAGAAATACATTGATAACGAATGGTCTCTAATGTGGATAAAATGCCTTGCCCATTGACTAAGGAAGAGATTTAAAAAAAAAAAAAGACCATCCTCAAGTTTGAAAGCCTGAACTGTTCTACTGCAAACAAAATGTACTATATTATTTTTCAGGTATTTGGTGGCGATATGCTTCCTAAAGCACTTGAGTTTGCTCAGTCGATTGCTGGCAGGCCTCTTGCTCCCAGAAGAGTTAGTAGCTTGCCCGTGAAAGGACGTGAACAAGCTTCAGCTATATTTGAAGGTACAGTATTTAACAACAGCAGGTTAAAAAATATCCCTGTCAACTTTCTGACAGTTAAATAACAACTTTCCTGTATTCTTTTGCATAGATCCTTAAATTGCCTGGTAGTCAATTTAAGGATTTTTGTAGTAAAATGTCTGTAAATCGGTGGAAATTACTTTTTTCAATCTCTTTCTTGTTGGAAGCTAATAATTTATTTAATTCTTTCAAATGAGCTATTCAAAATTTTGTTTGCATTTTTTAGGTATTTTCCTGTCTCTTGACTGAAAGTACATCTTGAATTATATCTTTATATACTTTGTATAGCACTTTACGTAGACATAAATTAAGTGATGAAGTGTATATTCTTATATAATCTTTTAATTTTACAATGAAAACTAAATAATAATTTATGATGTTATTTTTTAAAATGGTTTTTTAGAGGCTAGGCAGAAGACAATGAGTCGGTCGGTCGGTGGTGCCTTGGCCCCAATCACTTGTATCCAGGCTATCCAAGCAGCCGTTGAGCAACCCACCTTTGAAAAAGGCCTTCAAAGGTTTGTATACCAGTTTTCTTCATGAACCTCACAGGGTATTGTGGTATAAAGAAAACCCTAAAAAATGCATTTAAACAATTGAGCTGTTCTTCAATGTTTAAACACATTTTTTAGGGGGTTATTTTTTTTCATTTTAAAAGGATCAGATTTTTAATGTTTAATGAGACACAAATTGAAAAACATATGAGGCTTGGATAAGAAAGTATAATACATACTCCAAGTATTGAAATACACGCCATCGTGTTGGGATTCAATATTTCGACATTAATTATGTCATCATCAGGAATGACATAATTAATGTCGAAATATTGAATCCCAACACGATGGCGTGTATTTCAATACTTGGAATATGAGGCTTGCTATCCCCAAACCAGCGTACTATCGTTAATTGTTAAACTGAGTAATTAGTATATTGAATTGGCAGTATTGACTTTTGTACAGAGTAGCCAATAATACTTTTACTCATAACTTTAGCAATAGCAAGTCGATATGACCTATAATAGAATGAAAATTGCTCCAAATAATGACCTATCATTTTAAAGGTTGTAATATGGAGAATGTAAATATATTAAAAAGTCAAATTTCTCGGTTTGGTCAATGACGCTGTTTGGCATGGCAAGTACCATATGTGAGGTCTCACTACAAAATGAGTCTCATCATTAGAAAATCAAAAAATGAGTTAATATTTGGTATTTCAATGGCTTTACTAGGATAAATAGATCCAGAGATGTTAGCATTTAAAGTTTAGGTGTATGAGAACC